TAGGCTTGGTCACACCTGCCCTTGTGACATCATGGGCATCTCTTCCTATATCAGCTGTCCTGCTCCTGCCCAGCTTACAGGAGCAGCAAGCAGAAAGGGATGATCACCTCAGCACCTGCCCCCCTCCATCATGGGAAATGAATGTGTAAGACGCCATCAGACTCCCTCCTCCAGGTGTAGGGAGAGGTCCCACACGGAGGGAGGACCTGGACTACTCCCCACGCATGCAAGGTGTGGGGGGGCAGCACTGTGGGACTTTGCACAGTGGCTGGCCCTCACCCATGATCCCTCCATTTTGATTGCAGAGTTGTGGTCCAGAAATAGAAGTAATACGAATAGAAGAGAGAGAAAGGCAAAAAAAGGTAGGTGGGTCCAAGGAGCATGAAAGAACTAAAGGCCTCAAGGTACCTGAAAATGGAGGAGCCATTTCTGTTCTCACGAGGGTTGGCTCAACATTGCTTTCCGTCTACCTAAATACTCTCCCTCTCCTGAGTGAACTGTTCACAGCACGTACAGCAGTGAGGCCCAGCACAGCGGGAGGTAGGAAGACAAGTAAGGGCTGGCCTGGGTCTGCAGGAGGATGGAGTGACTAGAGGTAGGCACAGATGTCAGTGGAAGCAAAGAGAGGCTGGACCCAGAGGCCTGTGGAACTACATGAGACCTTAGGAGGCAGTGTGCTAGGCTGGTTTGGGACTGAGGTGCAAGCACAGATGCAGAGGCTCCTCTTCATGGGGACCCTTCGGCTCCTCACACACACAGTGAGTCTTTTGCATCAGGAAGTTTCTGGGCTGTTTCTGTGGGTTCTACAAACCCATGAAGTCCCCCACTTCATAGATGAAGATAATGTAGCTCAGACAGTGAGCACATGCGCCTGCAGTCATGGGCAAGACAAAAGTAGAGGAAAACTCTACCCAGGTCTCCTGAGTCCCCAGAGCCAGCAGGGGAAGGGCCCGCTATAGAGAACTGCCTGTGTCTGACAGGGGCAAATTTACTGAAGGTCTTTTCTTTGCTTTATTAGTTGCTTCTTGCGAAACGTCACCAAAAATTGGTTAATGCAGCTAGAAAGATCCAGGCCTGGTGGCGTGGCAACCTGGTCCGCCGGACCCTGCTGGTTGCCGCCCTCAGGGCCTGGATGATTCAGTGCTGGTGGAGAACAGTGCTGCACAGACAACACCAGAAGCTGCGCCAGTCCCTTCTGAGGATGTATGTGGTCCAGGAACAATCGGCAGTCAAGCTCCAGTCCTGGGTTCGCATGCAGCGGTACCGTCACCATTTCTACCAAATGTGTGACTCTCTCTGTGTGTTCCAGCCCCGGGACAGCAGCCTTGTCTTCCAGAGCAAAGACGCTGTGCAGGGGCAATGTGGAGCCATTTTCAGGCAACCAGAGTTCCACATTGAAATCTTGTCCATCTAAAAGCCTGCAGCACGAAGGCCTTGCTCCCATGCCTCAATAAATGTCTGACCTGGGTTGGTGAGTATCAGTTAATGCCACAGCCACAGGAATGCAGGCCCAGCCTCTCCTCCTCTACTTGCAGAAAGACTTCAGTGCAGGTTCACCCCCAGCACCACAGTGCCTATGGCTCCTGTTTGGCCTGACTCTGCGTCCAAACCAAGAAATGGTGGCTCAATGTTGTCTCCATATGTGCAGAGCCAGGTGTCCCCTCACAGAGCCCCGGTACAGTCTCTGCCTGCTGAATTTGGAATTGGGAGAAACTGGTCTTTGCCTTCCTGAAGAGCCTGGGCAGCACTTCATAATCACCACAGCAACACCATCATGCTAACCACTCCCTGGTCTCTGACTTTGGTTGCTGCTGTTGCCTTCTCTCCTCTAGGACACCGGTCAGAAAGGATGGCCTGGGGCCAAGCAGTTGCACGTGTATGAACGTCAAGCCTCATAGAGCTCTCTGGCCCTTTAGAGAAAAGGTGTGTCGGCCCCTGACATAGAGACTCTGACTCTTATGCACTGGTCCATGTGCTTCTTCAGCCTGACCAGGACTCTCAGAGACTGGCCTGACCCCCCTTTTTCTGCTGTCACGTTCCCCCCCACATTCTCTTACAATTGCACCGCCAGTGCCCCTCTACTTCTACATGAGCCCCATCCTCTCCCCACCTCACCCCTGCAGTGGGTGATCGGAAAAGTCATCACATAAGGTTTAGTTTTATATTCAAAGCAACAGATCTCTTGTGGGCAAACTTCCCGCGACACTTCTCTTCGGGTTGCCTTTGGACCTAAAGGGCTCATGCTCTTTCTTCCCTCTTCAAATGTCCCTCTCCCTCCTTTCCTCTTGACCTCAAAGGATGGAGTCACCGTGCTTACGAGGAAACATCGGCAGATATTTCCTGTATTCCTCCTCCTTATCCTCCACTCCTGCACCCCGCGCCTGCTGCCTTCCTCTAGCAGAGATGAACTTCTTATCCTCATCCAAGCCCACCCCTTCCACTCTCCTCCTTTGCTCTGCGCTTTCTTTTGCCCACAAACTCCTCTTCCTTTTTTTTTTTTTTTTTTTTGCAAGGACTTAAATCCTGGAATCTCACTTGTTTCTGTAAATCAGTTTCTGCCTTTTCACCAAGTCATTCCCACTGGCATATTAAATGCCCCCCATTACGAAAGAGTCCATTTCTGAGCACCCCCTGCTCGGCTGCTTCACATCCCTTCACAGCAAAGCGTACTGTCATGTCTGTACTTCCACTCCTCCTGTTCTGTCCGACTGCGCTCTTCCCTAATCCACAGGAACTATACTGGACCAGCGGTACTGAGGGGCATTATTTGAAAAAGAAATGACCAAAATTACTTCCTTCCTTGAATCCATGCCTGTTTAAAATGTGACTGTGTAGCTGTCAATCAAGAAATGAGAACTACTTATCTCCTTTTGTGTCTAGGCTTCCTTATGACTTTCTTCGGCCTCAGTATGCAGTGGAAGTGGTATTTTGCCGACCCTGAGCCTGGACTTCAAGAAGTCTTTAAGACTTCACAGGACAGGGGCTGTAGCTCAGTGCTGGAATGCTTGCCTAGCATTTGGAAGGTCCTGGGTTAGAGCCCCAGCAACAAAGACTGTAAGAGATCTACTACAACCATCTACCCCGTGAACACGCCAGTTACTTCTGTGGCCTAAGAGGCCACCTGGAGCAGAGGCGAACAATTTTTGATGAGTCTGTTTTTCACCTCCAGCCCCCAGCTCACCTGCCACATATGCCAAGTGGGCCTGCCTGAGGACGAAAGAATAACCCAGCTGAGCCTAGGCCATCATCTATGCTTTAGGCTACTGCTGACCAGGGACACTCATTCTTCTATTTCTCCTCTTTCTTCACTGACTACTCTTCCTCAAACTTACTGACGGCTTCTCCCTTGATCGGCCTTGATCCACCTCTATTGTATGACCTACTAGAGACTAAAACTTCTCTTGGTCCCTTACTGTTCACTCCCAGATGATATTAGCTAGTCACTTGGTCTTTCAGATCTGCCGCGTCCCGATGACACGCAAATCCCCATATCCAGCCCTGATAGCACCTCTGAATTCCCGGGCCCTCTGTACCGCCTCCCACTTGACAGTTTTCTTTGAGCTCTAATATTCAAACATGACGGGCAGAAACCAGAAGCATATTATTCTTCCCTTCAAAAGCTTGCTGTTCCTTATGTTTTTGCCATTTACCCAATCTGTTTAATTCAAATTCCTTTTTTGATCCTTTTCTACTACCGCCATCCCTTTCTTCCTGCATCAGCCTGTCAGCAGGTGTTGTGTGCAGTCCCTGTCCTTTTGTTCTTCATCTCCCCTGCTGCCTCCTTAGCACAGCCCTGCTTTGGCCCCTGCTTTGATGCCTCCAGGTTCTTTTCCTTATTGTCTCATTCATTTATTTATTCAGAACTAACATCTACCAAGTAGAGCACCATAACCCCTCTCTACACTTCACACACAGTTCAACAATTAATAACATATGGTCAATCATATTCCACCTTTACTTCTCACTCTGTGCCCATTGGAATGTCTCAAAGCAAATCCCAAACCCCAAAATATTTCATTTGATCAAAAGTACTATAACACGTGTATTGAATGAATAAGAATGTAAAGACACATAAACATCTATTCAATTACACCAAAGTAATTTTTGTAAAGGTCCAAAAGCAATTCAGTGGAGAAAAGATAGCCTTTTCGATAAAAAATGCTAGCATGGCTGTGGGTGGTGGTGCACAGAGCACAGGAGGCTGAGGCAGGAGGATCATTGAGAGTTCCAGGCTAGTCGGGGTGACATAGTGAGTTCAAGACCACCCTGAACTACACAGCAAGACCCTGTCTCAAAGAAAAAGCGCTAAAGTAATTGGACATCCAGAGACCAAAACAAAGAAAAGAGAAAATACACACCTAAGTCTTACTCTGTATACAAAAGTTAACTTGAAATGGATCATAGAATTTTTTTTAGTCTTTTTATGACATGGTTTTACCATGCAGTAAAGGCTGACCTTGAACTCACTTTGTAGCCTGGGCTGGCCTCAAACTTGCAACAATCCTCCTGCCTCAGCCTCCCAAGTGCTAGGCTTACAGGCATATGCTGCCATGCCTAGTAGATCATAGACATTTATGTCAAACAATGCTATAAAAGTTTTAGAGAGAACATGAGAACATCTTCAAGATTTCAAGTGGATAACAAAAAGCCCTAGGGTTGACATTAAAATTTTAATCCGTAAATGGGAAGACTAATAAATTGGACTTCATCAAAACTTTGAGACTCTTGCTATATGAAAGACACTGTGGGGGCTGGGGATTTAGCTCAGCGGCACAGCGCCTGCCTGGCAAGCGGAAGGTCATAAGTTCGATTCCTGGTACTGGAAGAAAAACAAACAAAAAACTAAAGACACTGTGCAGGGGATGAAAAAACAAGCTGCAGAATGGGGCAGGGGGTATGTTTGTGAACCATGAATCTGAAAAAGAATTAGTGGATAGAATACATAAAGAACTCTCAAATTTCAACAGCAAAAATCAGTTTAAAATGGGCAAAAGGCATTAAGAAACATTTCATGGAAGAGGCTGTGCACATGACATATAAGCTGGTAAAAACATCATTTTTAATATCTTCAGCTATACGGGAAACTAAGCTCATAATGAGATTTCACTGTACACCTATCAGAATGGTTCAAATACAGACTAGTGGTAGCATCAGCGCTGGTTAGAATGCAAGCCAGGCCTGGGGCCACACATCTGCCATCCCAGCGCTCAGGAGGTTGAAGCAGGGTCACTGTGAGTTCGAGGCCAGCTGGGCTACCTAGCGAGAACCTATCTCAAAAAGGAAAAGAAAAGAAAAAGAATGCGGAGTAAATGAGTTTCTCACGTGTTACTGATGGGTGCAGCAGCTACTGTGAAAAGGTTAATGAGTTCTTGAAAAGTTAGTTAATACCCGCACTCTATGTATATGTTAGGAACGGAATATCCCATCACCCTATTATATGTATGATTGAGTTCTCAGATTTGTAAGTTTTTATACATCCTTTCATTGAATAAACACTTAATTAAATAGGAAAAAAAGTTAAATAAATATGGAATTACCATATGATTCAATAATTCTACTCCTAGGCATATACCCGAGGGAATTGAAATAAATATTCAAATTCTAAAAAAGTTGGACAAAAGTGTTCATACATGCATTATTCATAATAGTGACACTGTGAAATATATATTTGGTCTTCACCCACACTTCCTGAAATACAACTTCTAAGATCCTTGGCATCTGTAAAGTGATATGTCTTTTTATATGCTGAGCTGACTCCTGGATAGCCTCAGGATGGTTGGTTGCCAGGGGAACCAGCCCTGTGATTAGATATTGCTTCTAAGTGATTAAGCCAAAATAACAGTCATAACTTGGGTCCCTGTTCCATTTTACTTTTTTTCTTTGATTTAATTTTGTTTTTAAATTATATAATACACATAGTTCTTAGGTCTAAAAAATGCAGGAAGTCAGGCATGGGGATGCATGACTGAAATCCCTGTATTCTGGGGTCAGGGGCTGAAGTACATGCTGAAGTATATGTACAAGTTCGAATCCAACCTGAGCAACTTAGAGACTTAGCAAGACCCTGTATCAAAAGAAAAAGAAAAAAGGGGCTGGAGATTTAGCTCAGCAGCACAGCGCCTGCCTGGCAAGTGCAAGGTCATGAGTTCGATTCCCGGTACCAGGAAAAAATCAAAAAAAAGAAATAAAGAAAAAGAAAAATTAAAAAGAGTTGGGGGTGGAGCCCAGTGCAAAGACCCTGGGATCAATCTCTAGTACTCCTCCCCCTCAAAAAAAAACTGTAAGAAAAGATGCACACTCCCCATTGATAACCTCCAGTGCGTTACCCTATCACACACACATATAGGTGCTTCTTAGGTCAAAGGTACCTGCTATGTATACTTTTGTACCTTGATTTTTTTTTCACATATGATGTCATGAAGTCCACTCAATAGCTGTATGTATTTCTCTCCACAGCTGAGTGGTGCT